TATATATATATATATATATATATATATATATATATATATACCTGAAATGATCTTTAAAAAATCAGAACAGGATTTTGTAATCGGGGGAAATCATTCCAACATGCACTGAATCTTCAAAAGATGTGCGAGAATAGATGTTGAACTCCTTTTTGACTGAACGCATTTAAATTGCGATCACTTTTGAAGCATTTCACGGACGGAATAGTAAAATATGTTTATTCAGTTTCAGAGATGAGTTTGCTTACCATTCATTTAATCGTATCGTTTTTCTTCTCCCTCTATCTTACACTGGATAAAGGAAACGGTATGGACATAGTCCATCACACAGTTGTTCCTGTTTGATAATCGAAAAACGTATTTCCCGCATGAGTGAAGACATTCATGGTGTGCATTTCGCAATTCTCTCTTTTTAGACTAAATCTGAACAAATATATTTCTCTCAGTGGTACGGAGGGAATATGTGTATGTGATCATGACTAGAATTGGATATAATATGTGAACCTTATTTTCACATGGAATAACTTCGTATGTAATCGATCGAAACGGTAGAAAATCTTTTGATGTTTCTATGGGTACTCCAATTGCGTCCGTATTTCCTGCACCCTGGTTCCTAGGTTGGCTATGACCTTAAACTCCACAAGGGGGTTCAACTATTTGTACCAGTAGTCTCACTGTGTCTCACGGTCTGTAAGATTCACGCCGGGCACACCCGTATCCAGTGCTAAAAGACTAGAAATCTAGGAAACTGTTGCATTCCATCTATCAATGAATCTTATGGCATTCAAGGTCTTTGAAACCAGAATACACGGTGTTTGACCTCTTGAGAGTGAAGTTGAGATGGCTATCTTAGTGGATCCAAGCTTCGTATAACCAATCCATTTCGATCGCAATTTATTAAATCATGCACCTTCCTTATTTTTGGCTCTCAACTGTGTCTTTTTCTTTGTTTTAATGTATGTTTTTAGTATTCAACTGAATAACTAGACTTTGTAATTTAATGTACCGCTTTCACTGATTCATGTGATATAACACCGAGTTATTCTGTTTATTTTTTGCTTCGTTGATGTTTTCTTCGGAAAAATTAGAAATTTGCGTATTCCCTGTTCACCTTAATTATCTGCCACGTTTCTATTGTTCATCCGTGAGCTGTAAATCGGGTGAAAACTTAACTCTTGCTACGGGCGTCGCCATCGAGCGAATGTTATGGAACCCCAAACAAAGTTATTTGTAGGTGAATCCAGCATCCGAAATACAGGTAATTCGCTCTTCATAAAACACTCCGTGTGACTCAACAACATTCACTTGAATTAAATGCATCGAGATGTACGCGAGTAGTCGGTTATCATAATTACGTGCGCATCGACAACTACCAAATGACTCGAGTGAAAAAGTGATCTAAGCCCTTCGAAGAACGGCTTTTAGACTTTTTTTAATTTTATGTTATATCAATCTAATCAAGCTGTTTTCACAAAATGATCGTGCGCCCCTTCACGACTTTCGTCGTGAAATATACCATTGTTATTGTTATTGTTAATGAATAAAGACAATAGTAAATTTCTTTGTTTGTCATCAGTATGCCCTGAAAACAAATTCATCTTGCCACATCCTTGTGAGACGGGAAAACAAATAAGGATTTCTGAGCACTTCTCATCATAAAGAGGAAATTTTTCTTATGAGATAAATACTTAGATCGCTGATTAAACAATTTCAATAGAAATTTATTTTCTTTAGTCAAACTATCCATTGCACGGATATTTTGCAAAAATTCCATCTCATTTGGAGATGATATTAAGTATATCCCTCTGAAATAGCCATGAAAGAATACTTTGAATAGTCATATTGAGTTTGGTAATGTTTTAGGATACATTTAGGATTGGCGCTGCACAAATAGGTTAGGCTGACAAATAAAAGTCACTGTTGGATCTTAGGACATGTCACCGTCATGATTGGATATGTAGTCCATGGTATATTCACGTTTGTGTTTGTTAAAAGCTTCGGCCCGTTCTTGTCACCATATGAGTATAAAGTTATCAAATTTGTGCTTTAGTATAGTAATCTCAGCGTAAACTTTGTCAGGTTAAGTGAATGAAATAACATCTGACCTGGTTCTTTGGTCAATTCGGGTTTCATTACTG